TATATATATATATATATATATATATATATATATTTAAGATGAGAGTACATTCAACTTTTCTCAAACGTGGCAGCTTGTACCAGCATTCCTGGGATGTTTATAAATGATGATGCAACTCAAACTTCAGGTGAAACTTTAACCTTATTATTTTTTATTTTTGGCTGTAAATGTTTAAGCCATTTTAAAATGGAACTAAAAACTATGCACTGATACAATGAAACTATCTATAAATTCAAAAATACTTCACATTTCACTCCTTTTGGGCACCGTGCCTTTTTTTTAATGTAGAAGGCAGTGGAATCAGTGAAAATAAATACTGTAAATAAACGATGACGACTGCGACATGTCATCATAATACGCTCAAAATACCTGCCTCAGATAGGAAAACGTGTTGTGTGTTTCCTGTTTATAAAAGCAAATTACAAACAAACCATCTTTTCTGACTGACCGTAAGGACGAGCAATCAGTGCATCAAATTCATTTCCTCCGATATCATCAAATATTGGATCAGTACCCCGACGTCATTCACCAATCACTCACTTTACTTTTGACCTCCACCACGCTGTCCGTGGCTTTGAACGACGTCTGCTGTTGCTGTCGTGACATTCTTCCCTCGGGTTGGATGATCAACTGCGGCACTGCGGCTAAAATCATTCAGCAATGTGACAGTTGTTTTCCTTGTCCGCTCCGGTTAAAGCAATTCCAACATCGAACAGGCGTGGGAGACCACTGGCCAAATTCACTAAGCATACCACACGCCTTTTGGCTTTTCGACGTATATTGTGTCAGAAGGTGATGAGCGAAGATCCATTGGCTTCGAGACAGGTGGAATCTTCTGAATTTTCGTGTACGTGATGCGAGGCGAGCGAGCCGAGTCACCGATGTGGATCCACCTCCAATCGGAGAAGGGTGCCGACGGAGGGCGGGGCATGATGGAAAACGTTCAAAACAATGACATGCCAACCCACTGCTGCTATTCGGAGAAATGCCTTCATCACCACAATACACCTGTGCACGCGCGCGAGTGTGTGTGTGTGTGTGTGTGTGTGTGTGTGTGTGTGTGTGTGTGTGTGTGTGTGTGTGGTGGGGGTAGAAATTTAAGAGGTAGTGTTGTTTTAAATATGTAATAAAAATAAAAATACATAAATCAACACTCACCGACATTCTTAGTACAAAATTACATCTATTTTAATTGTGTGAAGTAATCTCACATTCCTCAGGTGTCTCATGTACAGTATTTGTGCTATGTTAGCTATTTTCCCAACACCCCCTTCAGCGCCGTGTTTCTGTGTCAAGGTGTGACAGGGGCTGTGTTGAAGAACAGGTTCTTTACTCTGCTTGGGTGTCTAAAATTTACATGGTATGTTTGTCAGGGTTAAAGGTGAGGGGTGGAAAAAGTGCATCACAGAGACCATTTGCCCACAAGTGTTTGTGAGATATCATTATGATCCCCTGCATCAAGGTTAATTTGTTGTTTTTTTTTTTAACCAAAATTTCAAAACGATAATCCAAGTTGATCTAAATTTGCATCAAGGAGTCACGTGTTTTGACACAAGTTCCAGGCACTGACCATAGACGTGAAGTCAGGACCCAATTTAAGCAACACTATCCAGCCACATAAAAAAAATCCTCCCCTGTAGTTTCTTATTGGCACTGACTGGCCAATATGAATACAATGAACACCCACTGTTAAGATGGAAACAACTGCAGTTATACCTAAAGCAATCATGCGTGGACCTGTCTATTTATAAATAACTGCATTAGTTTTGTTTGCCGTTGTGTGTGGCAGGATTATCGGTCGCGCCAGACAGAGGCCTCACATCACATACAGCACACTGACTTTTGAAAAAAGTATAGTTATCCAAAGTGTCTCAGTAAAACAATCTGAGTTATAGTCGACTCCACTTTCTTGCTTCAACTGCATAAGAGTTCAAATGCAAATGTTTTTTGTTGTTGTTTTTTTTTGTAAACAGAGCTATATGAATATTTCTTTTATATTTGTTTCCAGGTCAAAGCTAGTACTTTCTATTTTGTCTGTCATCAGTCATATGTCTAAAATTTACTGCTTGCCCTCCCAGGTAATTTTTGACATATGTAGTACAGCTGTTAATGGGAGTGAATGAGGTAAGCAATTAAGAGGCTAATTTTGAATAAATAGTTTTTGAGTATTTCAAAGATGTCTTTGTCATTTTGATCATTTTCATGTCAATTGTAAAACCTGACAACTCTGAAAAAAATGGCATAACAGACCAGCCAATTTTTAAAATTAACTGTTAAGTTACTCTGAAATGCTCAGTAGTAGGCTGTGTGAATAAAAATTAATAACAGGTGAGTGTACTAGAACCACAATCCCTTGGAGGAAGTCTTCACCTTAACCAAAATAACCGAAATCCCTCGGGAAGATAAGTGGTTCAGAAATGTATAGATACAGCTTAAACCAAATATTTCAAAGGGAGAAAAACGCCCCATTACAGTAATTATCTGGTATGCGACCCTGCATATCGATCTGACACCAAGTAAATACAAGGGCAGTATTGTCAGCAATTAAAAAAATCCCCAAAGGCTTGAAGTTAAAAAAGAAGCCACCATGGACACAACAAAGGTTTTGGTTGAAATTTTTGAGAGTGAATCTGGCGAGCTCCTCTGTATTTGTGTGAATGCATGTATGTGTGCTGGTGGGCAGGCAGATCCGAGGTAGTGGCTGACTTGCTTACTTGTTCGTGTTGCTAAATCTTTGGACAAGCCTACCGTAGGGCATCAATCTGTGTCTGAACTTGCAGATTTTCATTCTAAAGGACCGACCCAGCTCAGTCTATTGAGATGCTGATTTTCTGTCTCGTCAACCTGCAGAAATGGACAAAATGACATCAAAATGTACAAACAAGTGTAAACCAAAGGATTTAATTGCTATAAGCACAGGACTCAATGCAGATCAGGAAAGCTGCATGGACTGGATTTAAGCCATTACATGCAACGTTCAAGTACTGTCCCAGCTCACAGATTCATGTAAAACACCAGTCGAACCAATACCAGTTAAATATATTCAAACAAAGCAACGAGATAATGAAGTCTTACAAAGAGTAATCACACTCAAACAGAAAAATGAATGATTAAAATTGGAACAAAAAGTGCAAGATTCAAGTGATTTAAAAAGGCTTTTGAGAGAATTGTCTAATCTGTTCCTCAATAAAGATGGAATGTTGTGGTGAAAGACTAAAATAGGCCGGCCCGGTGGACAAGTGATTAGCACGTCGACCTCACAGTGCAGACGTCGACGTTTACGGAAGAGCGCCTGCGCCACGAATAATAATATTACCCATCCAGCCATTTTCTAATCCGCTTATCCTCACAAGGGTTGCAGGAGTGCTGGAGTCTATTCCGGCTGTTTTGGGCAGTAGGCAGGGGACACCCTGTACTGGTTGCCAGCCAATCGCAGGACACACACACACAAACAACCATCCATGCTCACAATCACACCCGGGGACAATTTCGTGTGTTCCATTAACCTGCCATTTTCCCCGTAGAAAACCCACACAAGCACGGGTAGAACATGCAAACTCCACACAAGAAGGCCAGAGCCGGAATCCAACCCTGCACCTCTGCACTGTGAGGCTGATGCACCAGGGGACCACCGAGCCGCCCTAATAATAATAATGATGATGATGGTGATGATGATGATGATGATGATGATGCGCTGTAAGCATCTGATAGGCAACTTAGCTTGGTAGCAATGAAACTTGTGTGTAAGTATATAACACTCTTTCTGTCGCTCTTAATCATTGTAGATGATCACGAGGCTGGCTGCGAGTCGGTGATTGCATGCAATTTGGGCACATCCGTTATCGCTCTCCTGGTGGGACACAATTGTGCCGAAGTTCACCACTCAACGGTTTTGCAAAACTTCCATGTGTCCAGGGAGTCATTCCTCTACATCTGTGATCGTCATGATAATACTGATGTCGTTGGTGCCAGTGTCTGGCCCGACAAATACCGTATTTTCACAACTATAAGGCGCCATTAAAAGTCTAAAATTTTCTCCAAAGTGGACAGCACACCTTATAATGCGGAGCGTCTTGTGTATGCGCTGAGTACCAAAACCTGACTGAGAGCCGACACGCTGTTTATATAGAGAAAAGGCGGAAGTGAATGAGGACAGGCATGCGGCGAAGAAGTCGGCCAATCAGTGAAGGGTGGGCGTGTAAGTGGACGCTAAAGGCATGCCCCTAGCAGGTACCAGCACCTGTATAAAGTGTGGATATGTGCTTTATTGCAAAACACTGCCACCTATGGTGATTTGTAAGCGAAAGATGCTGCCGAAAGCGAAGTTTCCAGCCGGCGTCATCGTCAAAGCAAACCAAAAGGGCTGGATGGACGAGGAGAAGATGAGAGGGTGGCTAAGTGAGGTGTATGTTAAGAGACCGGATGGCTTTTTCCATGCCTCGCCGTCACTCTTGATTTGCGACTCCATGCGTGCCCATCTCACAGCAGCGGTGAAAAACCAAGTCAAGCAAATGAACTCTGAGCTTGCCGTCATTCCCGGAGGCTTGAATAAAGAACTCCAACCGCTGGACATCGGCAT